TATGCATAAATCAGTGGAGGAGAGGCAGATATGACTGGATGATGTCTCTGCAGCCCTGTACCTCCAGCCTCTTTCATGCTGTGCTGCCTTATAAAGGACCTCCCTGGCACTGTGTAACCTCAGCTCTCAGCATTCCTAAACTTTCACCTGCATGGCATGTCAAAAGAACACAGGGCTGCCCCTGCCACATATCCTTTGATGTGCAGTTGCACCATGACAAGGAAATTTTACATCACAGAGCTGCTCAAGCTTAGATCCAGCCCTGAAACAAGCCCTGCATCTCCTTGATCCTCTCAATGCCTTTGATCACACTGCATGGGCTAGACTAAAGGATTCCTTAAGATCCCACACAGTCTTGTTTTCTTTGGTCCCTCTAATTTCTAATCATATCAGGAACTTCCCACTCCAATACAGAATTCCAGCCCTTTTGGCAACTTTTTCCACATTCCATTAGAGCTTCACAACCCTAAATAAAGTGTAGTTGGTCTGGTGCAGTCAGTGGACTGCAAAGTTCCATAATTTAATTTACTCTTCCTTGCAGCAGTGCAGTTCCCCTTCTAGAGCCCTGTCTGACAGACAGAGATTCTTCTCCACCCCAGAACTGCCTCACCTGATCACAGCAATAAACAAGGCAGAAGGCTCCAGCTCTGGAAATCCATTGTACAGGGGAAAGTGGAGACAATGTCAGTCCTCCAAAACACAGAATGGGAAGGCAAGAGGATGTTGAATGTTTGTCCTTTGCCTGTTTCTTCTCTGATGGGTTGAGAGCTATGTGATCAGTTCAAGGGTTTTTTTAAGATTAGAATAAAGAAACACAAAAATCCTTTTTGAATACCTTAAAAACATCTCCTCATTATAACCTACTGTGAGGTAGTTACAAAAGTGAACATTTCACCTCATGGGTCAGGAGTAATCAGAAAAAAGGTGCCAATGCTCAGCTGTACAAACCTGTGGCACCTGAGGAAACTGTCTGCCCACAGACATCTTCCACTGCAAACCAGTAACTTCAAACCTGTCCAGGAAAAAAAAAAAAAAAAAAAAAAAAAAAAAAAAAAAAAAAAAAAAAAAAAACTTGAGTGATGGGCCAATCAGTCGCCTACAGCAGACAAACATCCTGTCACTAGGAGCAAACTTCCCTGCTGCACTGGGAGCTGCCTAGCAAAAATCCCTGGCTGCTAGGGCAGTAATTACATAAATCCCTTTGATACATTTGTGTCAAAGCCATTGATCAAGAAACAGTATTAATTAGACCTAATCCACACTTCGGAGGCACCAGAAGCTATCAGCATGGCTCCAGGGGTTTAGGGCAGCAGACTGGATGGTTCAGCAAGGCTTCCTTAATTTCATCCTCATGAGTTTGAAGGTGTAAAGGCAGTGAGGAAAGGAAGAGGGAAGAAAACAAAAGAAAAGTAGCAGATTTGCAAATTTAACCTTTCCAAGGTGATTTGTGTGGGAAGTTAAATACTACTGGGGCTGTGCCTAAGCAAACAGAGTTTGATAGTTTGTGCCTTTGAGAAAGAACATTGAAATATCACAGAGGTACCAAATAATCCAACTATAAGCACATACATTTGTTTCTCTCAGAGCAGACAAACAACAGGCAATTCATGGGCAAAGGGCTAAATGAAACCCCTGAGTTATTTACTGCAGGAAAGCTAAGTCTGACACCCCAAGCACTGCTCCAGCCTTGTGCCAGCACTACTGGTCGCCCTGTCCCTCCTGTAAAAAAACAGGGTCTGCAAGACAGAGTGGGAGGCAAGCACAGACAGGAGGAAGGGGCTGGCACTTGGAAAGTGCTCCAGGTCTTAGGCTCTGAAGAGTTAAAGCAACCAGAGGAATCGTAAACAAAAACAAAACAAAGCAAAACAAAACACCAAAAACAAAACAAAAAAAGCTAAGCAGCAGCCCTTACAACAAAAATGCATTTTACAAAATTAATGAGATTTGGATAACTCTCCCTTTAAAAATTGAATACTTCCATTTTAAAATGTACAAAGACTAAAATTTTCATAAATATCCGACTAAGAAACTTCTGATGCTGTTTTAGGTTTTCCATTGAAATGCACTGCATGGAGGTTGCCATAGCTACAAGCAAATTTTAAAATAACTGTTTTTCGTCAGAGCAGCTGCAGTATCCTACAGAAATGAAGATGAAGTGGGGAAGCTGGAAGGAGTCTGACCAAATTCAAGCTCCTAATCAAATGGCTCCAAGATTTTCATAAACACAGCTTAGAAACTTTTAATATGGGGTCTGGTTTTTAGAGAAAATACTACTCTGTTATTTGACAGGACCCCAGGAAATGCTGTAAGCAGTACCAGAGATCTCAGTTAAGAGTTTTGTTTTCATGCTGGAAAACATAAAAATTTCCACTGCTAAGCCCCAGCCTGGTACAAGTCCCCTGGCACCAAGGGATGTGCTGCAGCCTCGGCTTGCTCTGCAGGGCTTTCTGAATGAGCTGATTGACTGGCAGCAGTGGGCCTGAAAATGCCCCAAGAGCCACAGATTTCTGTACCCAGGAAAAGCTTTTCCTTGCCAGAGCTCATACAGGAAAACACAGAGAGGAGGAAATGTGGAAAACAAGTGAAGCTGTAAAACACTGGCAGGAGGCTTTGGAGGAGAGGCTGTGACTTAAGTGGTCCTCCTTGCTGGGCATCAGGAGGCTGTTTCTTCTTCTGTAGGATCTCTCCCTGGCTTGAATAGGCAAAGCAACATTCTGTGCAATAATATGAGTAGGAAATAAACATTTCTGCACTGTGGGCACCTGTTTGGGGGAGGCCTAATCTAAGGACAAGATCAAGAGCCTCCTTTCAACCTGTAATGTTAACTGTGGCAAAAAACTCCAAATAAAATAATTTTGTGCCCTCCGGCAAGTATGTCCCTGTGTCCCAGTCCATAAAACAAAAATAAATAAAAAATAAATTTTCTCAGTGGAATATCAAGAGATTTAACTCCACCAAAACAGTAATTGAATTTCTATCTGTGGAAGGTGGAAATGCTTGGCTGGGTTTGGGTGTTTTTCTAAACAAAAAATTAATGATTATTATTAATAACACTATTGTGAATCTGAAGAAACCATCTCAGTGATTAGTGGTTTTATGCACATTGCGTCATTTATCTATGACATGTTTCTGAGAGGTTCCTCCACAGCACAGTGGAAAGTGCTTCCTCCTGCCACAGTGGTGATGCCTGAAGGCTCAGATTGCTCTGCTCTGCCATCACCTGCACAGCACAGGAGTTTACAGGCAAGCAACAGATATTAATCCATATAGACAAATCTTCTGGAAAAGGTTAATTTTATTTCAAATGCGATTTAAAATTCCCTTCACATCTTGAAACAGCTTCCTTTCCCAATGACTGTATGCTTGTTTGCTCCAAAATTATTCTGGGGTAAAAGAGAAAAACAAAGGGGAACAAAGTCAGAAAAAAACTTTAAATAAAAGTAAGAAAAAGGGAAGTTAAAAAACTATCATAGCAGATTCTCCTAACAAATTATATTTTTTAATGTTTCCAAGTATTCAAGGAAGTGTTTAAGGCCAGGTTGAATAGGGCTTGGAGCATTCTGGTCTAGTGGAAGGTGGCCTTGCCCATGGCAGGTGGATGGAAATGGATGATTTTTCAGATTCCTTCCAAACCAATCCATTCTATGATTCATGGGTACTGAGGCAGTTTAAGTACTATCTTTAGCATGGAGTAGAATTTTTTTTTTAAAGATGGAAAAGTCCCTCATTTTAGAAATTAGATATTTCATGGCAGGCAGAAACATCTCAGTCACTCAGTGAGATCCTGGCACAAGACTGTTCAGCTGGCTTGGCCCAACATCCCTCTCCACAGTGGCAGCAAGTGTTCAGAAAGTGGAAAAAAATAACAGCTGCCAGAAAAAACAACTTAGTAAATATCTTTTACAATGTAAGTTATAAAAATTTCTCTTTGCCAGGGTGAAAAGAAGCTAGCACAGCAGAGTGAGAGAGGGATGCCAATGAACAGAGAATTCTGTACTGGTGTGCAAGTATCCTGTCAAAGGGTCAGACCCTCCTGTATATCTTTAGGCATTAACTTTTCTGTTGTAGAGGTTTTTTTCAAGGAAAGAAACAGAAGATTAAAAAAAGCACAACCTGCTGTATGTTTGGGCTGCCAGAAAAACAGATTGTGAGTCATTGCAAGCTACTGACCTTAGTCAGCATATTGTGACTGCACAGCTTTCCAGCCCTGCTGCTTCCTCCCAGGGCAGGGGAGAGCCTTGTCAGAGCTGTAGAGGCACACTCACACTCACTGGGAAGTGCTATTTCTCTCAGCTGTGCAGACATCAGGATTGCTGAACCCAACAAAAACTCAGCATTTTCCTGGGAGGAAAAAGAGATGTTAACCAAAACGTTGAGCTACAGTCTGCAAGAGCTGCCTTGTCCTGGAGATGCAAAGAGCAGGTGCAGAGCCACCTCCAGAGCAGTGTGCAGTGCACAGCCACTGCTTGGAGAGTCTGAAAGGATCCGAGAGCCTCCCCGCAGCCTCCTGAGCCTCTCCCCAGCACCCGCTGGGCAAGGCAGAAATGCAGAGGCTGAAGGAGAGGATGATGGCTGGAGGCAGCAAAAGGGAGCAGTGGTCAATGCCACAAGGCACCTTCTCCCCTTACCTGCAAAGGGAAACACAGCAGCACCTACAGACCAGGGACTGCTGCAGCTCCTCGCTCTGTGCTGCTTTGCTGCTCCCATTTTGCTTTTGAAGCAGTTCATCAGCCCCTCCAGCACAGGAGGTTTGCTTTTTTCACCACATTCAACCATTATGTTGAAGCAAGGAGAAGAGAATCTTGGGGGATGAGCTAAAAAAAAAACTGAAGTAAAATTTTTTAAAAAGAGGGAGAGAAATAATACACAACATATAGGGGAGAAAAGTAAAAAAAAAAAACTTCAGGAGATATGCCCTGAGAGAGGCAGGGATGGATCAAGGACTAAGAAGCAGGGACAGAATATCAGCAGAGGAAGGCAGCAAACCACACAAGCAGTGTGGTGACACTAAGGCACGCTCCTACAAGAAGAAGAAGGAGTATGTAGGTGTTTGTCCTCATTTGTTTGTTGTGAATAGTAAACATAAAACCACAAGTCAAAAGCAAAAAGCATGCAAGAGAATTCAGGGCTTCCCCATCTAAAGTGTTCAGTCTCTCAGTTTGCTCAGCTGTAAAATGTAGGTGCCCTACTGGTCTGCCAGAGCTGTGCCAGGGGGATTGAGGCCATTGATTTATTCAGAAAAAAATAAACAGAGTGAGATCTGTGAATAAGCACCAGAAGGTTCCATAGATCAGTTTAAGAGAGACATAGAGACAGTATATCTTTTTAGGAAAAGCTTTACTTGTGCCAAAAAGTAGGTTTTAACCTATATCAGCACTAAAAAATTCAGGTGAAGTCACCTGAATTCTTCTGTACTGAAAAATAAAGTGAAAAAATCCGAATTTCACTTTGGAATTAAACATTTGGAGCAACAGAGAAATCCTGCAGAAGAGATGCAGTCATCAGAGTTGTGGTGCTTCAACTTCTGGTGGTTGTGCATGGAGCGGGTAGATTCAGTAAAGATTTAGATCCATTAATATACCCTGAGGTGTTGTACATCAGACAGAACCCCAGCACAGGAGCCACAGAGTCATTTTAGCTTCAGCACTGTGACCCTGCATCCCTTCATGGGAGGCTGGGGGTGTGAGATGCAGGCTGGGCATCACTCACCTGCTGGAGTGAGGCAGAATAAACAGGTATATTGTGAGGCAGCAGAATGAGAGATAGACGTTACACAGCTTTGAAACTGCACACTAAAAACACTTTTTGTTCTGCTGGAAAGGCACAGCAGTGCCAGTAGGACAGCCTGGGACTTGAAATCCTAGCTGGTTTAAATATATCAAGAATATCCCAAAAGAAGATGCTTTGTCATGAAGGGCAAGCAAGCCTCAAAGGCAGCCTGGGCCTGAGCAGGAGCACGCTGAATGGCTGGGCACTGCCTTGCATCTGCTTTCAAAACACCTCTGTACCTATTCATTGTGTTCTGTTCTCTCACTGAGCAGCAGCTGTAGAGCACAGACACATCCAGGCAGCTGTGAGAGGAAAAAGGCTTGAGAATAATGAACTCTGGGACCAGCTTTTTCCTTCACCCTTTTCCACATGAATGCGATGATCAGAACATATACTTGCTCAGGACACAAATACCATCAAATTTTTTCGTTACACATGGGCAGTGAGGCAGTTTTCCTGCATGAAAAGCCATCATTCATGGAGAGCTGGAGCCCAAAGCCAGACAGAAGTTTCCTGACTCTCCCCTGGGCACAGCCAGCTCCATGCGCTTGGGAAGGTTCAGCACCACACGTGGCCACCAGATTTTTGGTAGTGACATCCCATTTGCAGTTTGCCAAAGGCATGGTGACCTGTGAGGTTTTAGGGGGTGAAGAACCTCTCCCTCAGGGGGGTACACACACCCCCTGGCCCCTCCAGCGAGTAGGATCACAAGCAGCAGCCATCACCAGAGTAACACCAGCCCTGCATGTGCTCCCTGCCTACATGACAGTGACTCCTTCACCCCCCTGCATTTTAACTGCTTTAGCTTAGTTTGAGACAACATCAACAGTGCTGTTATCAGTTCAGGACTTACTGTAGGCTTTTGAGAAAAAAAATAGCATTACTTACACCACATTTTTGTTTTGTCACTTAGATAGGACTCCAAAGACTTCTGTACTCCTGGATTTCATGCATGGCCTTGCTACCACCATGCACACATCACCTCTGTGCTGCATCACTGCCCAGAGGCTGGGCTGCACAGTGAAGGAAGAGGATGAAGCTTTGCAGCATTTAATATCCACCACACTGCCTGCATCAGACATCCTGTAAATTGTTCCATTGATCTCTCTTCTTTTGAAGATTTTACCAACTCTGACCTCAAATTTCATTTCCTCTTTCTGACAGGGATGATAGAGGAAAATAAAAAGTAAAAATTTCAATATCGTCCTTTGTTCAGTTTCTCCATCCTGTTTAATGGATATTCCCACAGCAGGAGCTGGTGGAACCAGTGAGCTCTTTCAAGAACTGTAATTTCTAAACTGGTGAGCACAATACATCTCAGACAGCTGCAATTGAAAGTCTTCAACCCCTAGGATAAAAATTTATATGAAAAATATATCAGTATGAAGGTACATCTGTATCCACAGGCAACAGTGATTAATATCTGGGGTTTTTTTGTGTGTGTAAATATATATTCAGAATGAAAAGGCACACAGCAGTTTTAAGCTACTTAAGCTACTTTAGCTGAACACTCTCTTCCTACACCTGTGGGATTTCAGCATTTCTGTGCTTTTAAGAGCTTTGTAACAGAGGGATAAGATCAGTTATGATCCCCTTTACTGAGCTGGAAAAATGTAATTTAGGTGTTATTATTGCAGAAAAGAGGTGGAAAGCTCATTGCTAATTGTAACTCTTTACATGCTTAAAGACGACAATTACTTTTCCTGATCCCTGAATGAAAAATTTTAACATAAGTCCTCCAAGAAAAAACATCAATCTGTGACTTGAACGAATTCCCCTACAGAGGGATGTTTGTGCTACCAAGCCTTCAATCAGCACTTACATTGCCATCAGTGATTACACTGGAAACTCCCTAAACCAGCTTTGGGAGCACATCACTAACCTCAGGAAAGCAAATCTGTGTTCATAGAAGTGGGCTGGTTGGCTGGTGCAAAAGAATAATCTTTATGGTCACAGCTACTGTCAAAACTGGGTTTTTGGCACAAGACAAAGCAAATGAGGCAGTAAGTGCACAGCAGTGGTACCAGGAGAGCAGGGAACAGCGGATTATCAGCTGGCAGATTTAGTGCTCAGCCCAAGGGAGGTCCAGCTTTCCACGGTCTACAGGAGCTCACCACAGCCGTCCACAGGAGAACTGCACCACTCAGCAGGGCTTGGGGACCACCATCCAACCAACAACAGCCAGGGACTCAGTTGGCAGCTTGATAACAACGAGAGGGAAGCATCAAGCTAATCAAACAGTGAGTAGCAACACAGAGCCTGTGAGATCCGAAGAGATTCAATCACTGCACAGCAATTTATCCTGAGAGAGCCAGGCCTCTGCAGTGACCCCTCCCTGCTGAAATGATTCACATCAGTGATGCTTCCTCTCCTGCTCGCTGCTATCACCAGAAGAGGCAGAGAATGATCAAGTGCTTCTTTGATCTCCTGTGTATGTGAAGACAGAAATATCCAAGCTGAAGAACTGAGCCCCATGGGTCTGACAGCAGATTCAATTACAACCCATGGAATTCAGTTCTCAAAGCTGAGAATAAATGACATTCATTTTCAGGCTGTCCCGACACACGGCAGTATCTCATGCTCCTGCTGGCTCTCTCCAGGGCCTGGCCTTCTTCCAGGAGCTGTAAAACAAGAGTGAAAACTTCACTGCAGCCAAATCAGCTGTACCCAGACTGCAGGCAGAAGCAGAGTAATGGCTCCAGGACATATATTTTGAAAAATGAGCTATTTTATATATTCCTTTGACACCAGAAGTGGCCACACACAGACACAATGTGCCCTAACATGTTGCAGAATTCCTAGTTTAAAAAAAAAAAAAAAAAAAAAAAAAAAGTACAGCCAAGGAATATAACACTAAAACATTTTGCACTTTTCTGGAAGCTTTTGAGAATTTCAAAGAGGTGAGCTATAAATTTCCTTCTTTTTTTTTCTTTGCTTTTTTAAAATACAAGAACACAGACACAGAGGTAAAATCTTCCAGCGTCACTCAGCAATCTTGTTAAAATAACCCAACCAGAAGCTGAAAAGAAGGAAATCTGTTACTGGTGCAACCCTGCAGAGTCATCAGAGTCTGTGTGGCAAAAAAGCCTTCAGCATAACAGCTGCATGGTTGTGTGCTGACACAATTTGTCAAATTGTCAGCCTCATCCCAGGGTGACAGTCCCACCCAAAGGCATTCTGAACCACAGAAAAACACTGCTCAAACGTGCTGGAGGTCACAGCTGACATCTCCCACAAGAAAACACCTCATCACCTCTGGCAAGAGAGGTCACAAGTTTCATTAAACTACATACCCTAAACAGGGAATTTTTGAAGAAAAATATATGTTAGATGCATATAGGACTATATATAAACAGTGTTGGGTAAGTTATAAAAAAAATCAGATTTATTTCTAACATTTTAAAGATACTTCTTTTTGTTCCAGTGAGATGAGGTCTCAGAAAAAAATCTCTTTGTTTTCAATGAAAAGAATATTCGGTCAGAAATAAAATATTTGGATGTCAAGGGGGTTTTAGATTGGATCTTTTAGCTTTAAGAACTAAATTTAAGGAAATTTACTGAACATAATGATTCAAATAGAATTATTTTGGTTTAGCATTGATTTTATGAAGTTATAAATAAGTATTTTTTTCAGTGAACAATCCTTGCTAACACCCCATGCCACTTTCCCAGTACATCAGCCTCACATGCAGCCCCAGCAGTGCTGGCAGGAAAGGCAGCAGTGTGCCCATGTCTTTACAGCTCTAATTGTCTTCTCAGGCTGCTGAACCAGGCAACCAAACAACAGAAATTAAAAATATACTTCTTTAACTGTTTCTCTTGCTGGGAGGGAAACCTCTGAACACCCATATTTGCTAAGTACCTGCTGTGTGGTACCCACAGCCCAGCTCAGTCCTACCCATCTGTCACTTGACTCTGTGAGACAGGAAAGAAAAATCAAATTAATGAAAGTAACATCTTGCTAAGGCCCTCAAATAGGACAAAACTTCATCTGCAACTTTAAAATAAGGTACTGTAGCAATAAATTTTGCTTGTCTGATATTTCTAATTTGTCACTGGAATACTGCTTGCTAAGATCACTGCTGAGTTAATTAAGACCTTCACTAGCAGTGTAGCCCTTCTGGGGCAATCCCTCATCCAATCCCAAGCAGGGAAAACATCTCATGATCACCAATAAAACATCCTACCTTAAAGCAGAGAAAAGATCAGGAAGAAGAAAGGGTGGAAGTGTCTGTCCCTTAGGACAGTCTCCCAATCCTATGGCATTTCCATAGAGGCACAAGGTGTGCTCAGCACCCAGCTGGGCACAGACAGCTTGGGCACTCACCATGGCACAGTCAGGCCCACAGTGACAGGGAGAACATGAGTGCCCCTCCATGAAACCCAGGGAAAGAGCTGCAGTAGCTCTGAGGAGGCCAGAGGAGCAGCTGAGCACTGGGTGCTCCCACGGACCCTGAGCTCCCCTGTCCCCTGCCCAGGCAGATCCTGCACAGCTGCCCCTCCGCAGGGAGATGGGCTTGGACAGAGACAGCCCCAAGGCAGGGGGGCAGGGGAACGGGCTCTGAGACTGCTCCCCTTCATCTCAGAGCCCTGGGATGGATCTGCCTGTGAACATGCTCTGAGATTGCTCTCCTTCATCTCAGAGCCCTGGGATGGATCTGTCTATGAACGGGCTCTGAGACTGCTCCCCTTCATCTCAGAGCCCTGGGATGGACCTGTCTGCGAACGTGCTCTGAGATTGCTCCCCTTCATCTCAGAGCCCTGGGATGGACCTGTCTGTGAACGTGCTCTATGGACCTGTCTGTGAACGTGCTCTGAGGCTGCTCCCCTTCCTCTCAGAGCCCTGGGATGGATCTGTCTGTGAACGTGCTCTGAGATTGCTCTCCTTCATCTCAGATCCCTGGGATGGATCTGCCTGTGAACGCGCTCTGAGATTTCTCCCCTTCCTCTCAGAGCCCTGGGCTGGATCTGTCCCACAGGTGTCCCTAGGGAGGACAGAACAGCCCAGATCTCCAGCAGCACACCTGGTGGTTTAGTGAAATCCCTAAGGATTGGAAGGGCACATCCTTATAATTCCACAGCCATTTTCCAGGTAAGTTAGCTTTACAGGGTTTTTTAACTAAGTGGGACAAAAGGTCACATTCTCTCTTTCATTTTGCCTGCAGAGTTTAGTATCATTGCAGTGCATTAGTTATCTCTCATCTTAAAAAACATTATGCCAGTTTCAGCCACATTCTCCTTTGACCCTTTATGAACTTCATATGTGAAATTCTCTATCCTTTCACTGTCCTTCCAGGAATAACTCCCTCCCTCTGAGAACCCATATACCCAAAGATTAAATTCATGCATTTGCAAACAAGAAGACAGCCCATAAAATTATATTGTTCTGCCTTTGCAAGAGCAGTGAGGAGGTGAGTCTTTCCAACAGGCCATAAATCTGCTTCTTGGAAAAACATTATTTTGTTCTATTCCAGCAAGGTCCCTTAGTACCTCACAGCTTGGAGATCTTATTACACCAGATTTAACAATTCCTACAGGACAGACACTTAATAGACAATCATCCTATAAAGTTTTACTGCTACACCAAAAGGCAAACTGTTTTAGAGTGATTGAATCATGTTAACTGCCTGAAGACTATTCTTCCATAAGCTTTCTTTTTAATTAAATATATTTTAACAGGAAAAGAACATAAAGATCCTAAAGCCATCAAGTTCCTGCAATGTGTAAATTATCTGCATTTTCCTTACCATTCCTCACTTTTATTCTCTATGCTGCCATTACAACCTTTCTTTTTAGTAAAACATTTACATTTGTCTAAACATAACCAAAGAGTGAGATTTTAATGCTTTTTAACCAGTCAATTATCTACTGCAGCTTCACATGAAATCCAGATATTACACAAATGAGCTCATCATGGGTGGTAATTAATTAACACAGGGAACTTGAAATAAAATATTAATATGGTCCCATTTCATTAGGAGCATAAAGCAATTTTTTCACCCTTATTTCATTAAATATATTTTCCCCACAGCTAGCAGAAAAATACGTATCTCACAGCTACACTGACAGCTGGGTAGTTGAAACAAGAGGGTGGAATGGAGGATGAAGTTATTCTACAAATGTTGAAATTTTTTTTTAAAATAGGAAAATTCACAGCCAGAAAGGAGCACGGTGGCACCAGAGGCAGGCAAACACTCGAGCCCAGCAGAATCTCTCAGGTTCAGCCGTGCTGGCAGTGAAATTTCAGTGCAGACCATGGCCGTGTGCTCTGCAAAGCCAGAGTGTCCTGCAGGGCAGTTCTGCTTGCTGGGCAGACCTTGAGCATCCCCTGCAGCAGCTCCAGATCAGCCTCACGCTGTGAAAACCCTGCCTGGGGTCCTCTCCATTTAAAAATTACCCATTTCTTTGATTTGAGCCTTTCCCACTCAGCCAGGACAGCCTCATTTGCTCTCCACAGCAATTCCAGTTCCTGTAGGAGCTGCCTGGGCTGCTGGGCTGTGGGCAGCTCTCACCTAGGGTTACTCACACCAAAAACCATCCCACCCTTCTGCACTGAGCATATCTCCTTCCATCATTCCCATTCTCAGCAGAGCAGCTCTGCCACAGATTAGGGATCCAGAAGAAAGTCTTTACTCTGGTGCTTAGGTACCAGGCAAACACTGCCCATTATCCTAACTTTAAATATTGTTAATCCCTCCCAGTACAGCTCATGTGCAACTTTACAGGCAGAGTGCTCACACACAGAAGATCTTTCTGTGCTCTATAAAGATCATGTTCACCCACGAAAAACCCAAGGCCAAAGTTTCAGCTCAGGCTTAAAGAAAAGTCCTACCTAAGCTTTGCTCTGGAGCTCTGCCAGTATCAAGCAGCTCCCATCAGCACAGATACGCTGGTGTCAAGCTCTCCCTCCTCCCAGGCTCTCCCCACATCAGTGAAGAAAGACCACACTTCTGGTCATCTGGCAATGCCAGATGAGGAACTGTAAATATTCTTTCCCCTGAATCCTTCAGGATGAAAAATGGAACAAGTCCATAACACCTTTGGCCCCGCAACTACACAATCACTTTCATTATTCCCACATCACAGACAAATAAAAATAATAATAATCTGGACTGGTTAATTCTTATATGAAAAAAAATTTCCCATCTCATGATGAATCAGATTAGCCCAAACACATATTTTGGGTTGTCCAGAAACAAATGCATTTGTTCCCAAAATGCTTTCTGGAACTTCCAGTTATTTTCTGGCTGCATTTTTAATTTTAAGAGATAGTCACATTTCTATTGCCAATGTTTATTCCACAAAGAACAAATATTAAATTTCTTCTGCCGTAGAATTATCTCACTCTGCTTATCTTGAGGTTCAATTCTGTTGTTTCCACTATAATCATATTTTCCAACACAGTACTTTGTGCAACAAAACATTTTCCTTCATGGAAGATAAAAACGATTGCATATTCCTTTTCATTTTTAAAATTAAATTAATGTCATTTTTTGACCTAGAACTTACTGATTTTTTCTGCATTTTTCCACTAAATTGGAGAAAGAATACATGGCAAAATACACACTAGGTATAAATCACTAAGAAAAACAACATTTATACTATCGGCCATCTATATACATTACAGCTAGTAAAACACTCGTATCAAAAGTGCATAATGAAAAGTTATTTCCCATTTTTAAAAAGTTCTGGCTAACAGCAATAACAACGACTTCTAATACTAAGTATTATTTTTAGTAATCACTAGTCCATTTACTTACAGTGTAGTTACAGTATAGTTTCATTTATACTCAGCCACAATAAGTCACGGACGGCCCTGGAGACAATATCAGCAAGCTTTATGTATTGAAAAATAGAAACTTTTGTGGGCTCCACGTTCTGGCTTTTTTATATATGCTTTCAGGTGACAGGATGAAACTTAGTGTGGAAGAATGGATCAGTGTAAAGGTTGTACTCTGCACATTGACACAACTGCAGTAACAGCTGTACTAACAGTGCCCAGATGTAGGAAACTGGAAAGACAATTTTCAGTGTGCTGACAAGGGCAATGAGAACTGAGATGTTAAAAGCCCTTGCAACTGCTCAGCCTCTGGCTATTCTAATTTCAGCAATAAAATGTTATTGTAAACAAACAAGAAGTTTCACATCAGCTGAAAGAGGACAAAGGAAAAGTCCTATATAAATTCAAATACAGAGCTGTCCCAAAGCCAGTGACACTTCTTTCCTTGGATATCTGATAGCAGTGCCCAGGACAGATGCTGGAGGTGACAGATGGGCTGTCTCCAGCAGGGTGGTAACTGCTCAGCTGAACTAATTCCTGATAAATGGAGTAGAACAGAGTGAGCTCAATAGGACTGGACAATCAGTATGTTTCAGAAATAATCTAAACACCCAAAATAGGAAGATATAAAAAGCAACAAACAGGAGAGAGTGGATGACCATTTCTTATTTCTTCCCAATTTACACATTTTTAATAATTCAAGAGTACTGGCAATGTTTCTTCTGTTGAAAGTACACAGGTACTTACAGTATGTGTCACTACACAACTACTAGACTATATTACTAATAGAGAAATGGTTACAATCCGTATAAGCAGTTAAAAAACAAACAGGTAAACATCAATTAATCACGTTTTTGCAACCCTCCCATTATTTAAAAAAAGGAATGTCATCATCACCTAGCAAGGAATTTACTTGGAGAAGCACAGTGTCATAAACAACTGTAAAGTTGGTAATCCATTAGAAGCCAAAGATTTCTTCAAACAGGTTTTTTATATAAACACTTAAAATACATTAAGTTGCTGTATTTATATTGTAACTATACTGTAGTTATTGAAAATAAAGTATTCCACAAAGAGCAAACAAACTTCCAATACTTGCGAGGTTTGTTTCAATTCGAATGCACTGAAATAAACCAGTGGAATATCAGAATAATGGGACAGCTCCAGTGTGGAACTGGCCCCTGGTAGCTCAGAGGCAGCTGCCAGGCTGAGAGCAATGAGCTGTCCCCTCCTCAAGGCACCTCAGCCCTGCTCTGCTGCCATGGATGGCTCAGCCCATGGGCTGTGAGCTCTGCTGCCGAAACCAGGCCATGTCTATCGTGTTTAGAAGATAAAAAACTGGGAGTCGGTTTCTGGAAGCTTCCAGGCACTGCCTGCAGGTGCAGATGGCTCATTTTGGGGCATGTGAAACGGCCCAGGGTTTTTGTTTCGTTTGCATCCATTAGCAAAGGCTGAGGAATGCTCCCCTACAGTCAGTCTGTGGGCACCTGGTGTCTTCCTCTGGGACACACTCACCTCCTATTGAAAATTTTACATCTTGCCCTCCTTGAACTCATTGGATCTCATTTTAAAGAAAATAATTTAGAAATTATTTAGATTCAACATGATCATATCCAGAATATTTAGGCAAGTATGTTGTCGACAACTAATGATTCCATGAATAACTTAAGATCACTAGAGTTGCCAGTAAGGACTTGGATACCCAGTGTATATTAGAGGTTTAAATCAATTTTTTCAGGCTTCTCCTTGATGAATCCCCCAAGACCACCCCAGGTAGTCACTGATATATTTGAAACCTCTGTCTTGCAAGAGTCCCCCCTGGAACCCTGGGCCTTTGTCCTGCTGTGCTGGCAATCCTCAAACTCCCTCTCCTGAAGAACTCCAGGCCCTGCTTACCCAACAACTGTTTTAAATTAAAATTGTGAGACTCTGTCCCCAAAACACATTTAGATGGAGTCCAGGTATTTCAAAAACTGTAGAAAAGAGAGCTGCTGGATTTGCTCATGCAATTAGGGAAAAGATTCAACAATGATAAAGAAAATCTGTTTCAAGCATGAAAACTGATGTTCATACTCTCTTTTGGGAAAAGATGGATAATGTGTTAATTTTGACTGATAAAAAGACATTTTAAAAAGACCAGAAAATGTTAGCATCAAAATAATTCACATTTTCATCACCATTTCCACAGAAAAATATTAATTTCAACATTCTCCCAGATGAAGATGAAATGCAAACAAAGCTACGGCAATTAGTATTTTTTTAATCCACTAGCCAAAAGAAAGAAAAAGAAATCACAAGAAAAATGTCACTTGGCTTAATCTGGATTAATTTTTTTCAATTATTTTCTGAAAATAAAAAAATATATTTCAAATACATTACATAATATACTTTTTGCCCCAAAAAAAAAAAAAAGCTACTTTTTGTCATTATTATTTTTGTATTTTCACAAAGTTGGTTTTTTTTTGTCATTATTATTTGAGCAATTTTAAAAAATCCAAACAGATGTTTTTTAAAGAAAAAAATGAAAGTTTGTCAAAATGTTAAAATAAATTTACTTTTTGATTATTTACACAAGACTATTTGCTGCACTCAGGTGAGCTTTGTAAATAATTTCAGTTCAGTCAAAACTGCATTTTTCAGTAAGCAAAGTAATGTGAAAAATGAAAGAGCAACTGCTTGTCTTTAATCATGCTAGTGAAGGGAGGGGGGCTGCCATAATTATCCCGCAAACTCCAGAAACCCTTCCCTGCATCAACAGGGAATTTGTTGGAAATTCCAGCACAGAAGAGCAGAGATTTCTCCATCCCTTTTTTCCATGCTGCAAAGCAAATTTGGATGCTTAGATAAGCTAAAAGCACATACAAGAAATAAAAATAAATCATTTTTAAAAAGTAAAGAATTGATCATGGAAAAGAAAACAGGAGACAGCCAGTCAAACTCTTCTGTTACAATCAAATATTGTAATTTCTAAATCAGTAGCATTTTATGAAAAGAAAAAAAAATACATATATCAATTAACTCACATCCTCTCCCTGTTTAAGTAGTTGTTATTTAAGTGGGTTAAGACACAGATCTAAAAGAAAAAGGTTAATATATATAAATCAAAATCAAGGAAAATATTAATGCACATAATAATACCACCATTCCTTATTTCTGAATTCCATTAGATCTGGAATAAAGACACAACAGCATAAGGACAAGAGAAAAAATTCCTGCATGGTGAAGAGAAGCACTAGAAAATGCGCAGATTCTCTGACACAACAGTATTTAAAAATCATTTGAAATTTCTCATCGCTTTAGCATAAATATAACTCAAAATTACTTCAAAGACCTGATATTCATTATGTTGCATTTACAGAATGTAAACCCATCAAAGCTGACAGAACTATCCTGGTTCAAAACTGGAGGAAGTGAGGAAGAAGTTGACATTTTGATTCAATCTTTAATGTGCAAATTACCTTTCACGTATACAAAGTGTACTGGCACAGGTAGAAGACAAACATGTAATAAATCAGCTTACATTTTTTTCGGCTCTTACTCACAGTGGAATCCCCAAAATTCATTTTATTTTATCTTTTTCCCACTCTTCAGCTTTTTCTCTTCCATTTTCCTTCCTCCTCTTCAATCAGCACAGGTTTGCATTTCTCATTTTCTATTGTACACCACTCCACTTTGCTGTCTGCAATGGAAAGGCAGACAGACGGACAGGGACACTGCCAGCCCAAGGTAACCTCCTCGGACTCCCACGCTCTGCAGGATCTGATTCTCTCTCAAAACCATTTTAACTTTATAAAGGGAAGGGAATCAAAACTCATTTGCATATGGGCTCATTCCATCTCTTCAGCTCACATGTTTATAGCTCTGGAAAGTCCCTCTCTGATTCCCTGGCCGATAAGGAGTCAGGAAGGTAACACAGCACAGGAGAGGTGAGATCTGTTTTGCTGACCTTGCAAGAGGGGTACACTGAAGGCTCCATTCACCTTGCTCGGAGGGCTCAGCTGGGAGGTTTGGGTGCTGCTTATCCTTTAGATTTCAAAGCTCAAACCATGCATGCAGAGTTGAAAACTCAAGTCAGAGAAACCCCCACTCTTGCGCAGGAGGAAGCTCTGGTCAGGCGCTCGATACTTCAGCTTCCTGTCTGTACACTACGCGGTCTCATCTGGGAAAATCCTGAAAACATTATCAGATGCCTGATAAGCTCTTTAGCTTTCAAGTACCTAGTGATTCAGTTTCGGTCAAAACCTTATTTGAATACAGTTTAGAAGTCTAAATAAAAAGCGAGACCCTAAAGGAGAAGACACACACTTGCAGTCTAACATCTGTGCATGCAAAACAATGTGGCTGAAGTTTGATATCAGCATAAACAAATCTACTTCTCCATATCTGCACCAAGATGGTCAGAGCATGTGTTCAGCTTATTAAAAAGAAGGAGAATTAGATGTCTGGTTAATTAACACTTTTATTTATCCACAAACACAGCAGAAGCAGCAGCACGGATTGCTTACTCCATTCCAACGTTGTTCACCATTGACATGAAGCAGATTGTTTCTGAGAGAAAAAGGCTGCTTAAAACTCCAATGCCCACTCCTCCCATGGGCTTTTCTGGCAAAGCTGGCAAGTGACGAGACTTGTTTTATTCCATGTAGACTCCTATTTACCAGGCATTAGACAGATTTTTCCAAACCCCGTTCACAGACTCAGAACAGGTTGACAGCATTTAACCCTGTGGATTTAGTCCTGGAAGAGTTAACCTCCACCAGGTCCAACATTTTCCAGTTCAGATGGGTATTTTCTGAGGATTCACTCACAGGAAATCACAACCTCTTCACTGGTTGTCTTCATCCCAGTCAGGCCGGGGGACTTATCTAGGATACATTCCAGGAGGTTCTCCTTCACACAGAACTTCTGAAGACAAAGAAATGCACTCCATCTATGAGTCTGGAACAACTAGGAGCATTTTCCCATGTATTGCATGTCTGCAAGCAGAGAGAGCAGACTCCCAGCACAGAAAACCTGTATTAAACACTCTCCATATTTGCTGCTGCACTCACCCCAAGCGTTACCACAAAAGCATGCAAAAAAAAAGAAAATTTGAGAGATATTTATTGTTAATAACCACATTCCTCTGAGTGAGTACAGAAGTTCAGGCTGTCCATCCTCAGGGCAGAAATATGTACCATCTTTTCATGCCAAGATCTGGTTTACAGATCTTCAACTATGCTAATACACAGGTTACAATTCACTAGAGCAGAGGTTTCAGACACAAAACTACTCACCATTTTAATACCCACATCAAAATATATAACAACAAAGATCCCAAATGCATGTGAAACTGGGATTTTGCTTTTCAGAAGCATGAGAGATCTGATGGGCTAAAAAAATACCATTGTCTGAGGACTCAGATGCTGCCCTGGGTCACATCTGTGCACAGAGAAGCCAAGGCTCTAGTAAGACTTACCAATTAGGATGCTTTAATGGATTTGAATGAGTCATTGCACAGGAAGAGAGCAACAGTGAAATCTCAGGCTGAGATTCAGCTGTGTTTGCAGTGCTCACTTGTACAACTTTCAAAATGCCTCCTCACTCCAGTCTCGGATTTAAAAACTTCTTTGTAAAAGACACTGAATTAAATTAATATATTCCCTACTGAGCAGTGCATCCTTGCTGGTTCTTTAAGTACAGACAATTCATGTTTCCTGTGCCCCAGAAGGTAGGTGTCATTGTGTGCATGTGTCACAGCTGGATAACCTCAAGCAGAGAGCAGCTGACCAGAACCCAAGTGCCTTGGTGAGAACAGCACTTTCTCAGCCCTTGGCACATCTTCCAAGCAAAAGCAGGAAAGTGAACAGTAAAGCCAAAACATTTACAGAGGCCTTTAGAGGGCAAGGATGACACGACAGGTTCTTCATTTTGCTTGCGAAACAAATGCAGGAACCAACAGGGGGCAAAGAGAAGAAAGGTAGTACAGAGTGGAAGAGACTGGCAGTATGTTGTGCACTGTCCTGACAGCTGACATCAGTCAGGACATCTATTATCATCTTAGCATCTCATCTGGAAAGTTTTGAAATTAATTTCTTTTTTGACAGGAAGTCTAGATCTCAGCCTAACTGAGTGGCTGGAATCTCTTGAGGCAATATTGTGTTAAGTCAAACAAGACAGCACTACAGCCCTGAGTGCAGTACTCTCAGAAGCACACACGTGGTGATGCAGTGCATTTTACAGGCACTAAAGCACAGCCCAGGTGCCAGAGATAGTTCCAGCTCCTCTGCTCTCTTTACTGCTTTTCACTGTACCCCTTATCAACAGAAGAAGCAGCCTTCCTTCTTCCACTGAAGGAGAAGGTCCTCCCAGAAGGGAGCATCTCTCCCAAGGTAGTTAAAACTTTACAGAAGAATAAAACTTGCAGGCATCAGAGATAAATCATGTCCTGTATATAAAATATCTTCCACAAAAATACAGCCTTCAGAAAGCAGAGTAGACATACAGTCATTTCATGCATGATTTCATAAATCTTTCATCCCTGCTTAATGTATTTCTTTGTGACAGGCAGTGAGGTATAAGTTATGAATTCCAACAGGAGCTGAAGCTTAGTCCCATTGAAAACTACAGCAAAATCCTCATTGCTTTTAAAGAAACTGGAATTTCTTCTTCAATAGTCTTAAAAGCAAACTTTCACTTTGTTTCCCATGAGAGGTTGGTTCTGTGGGTCTTTTGCTACACAGAGCCTTATACACATGCATATATTATTCTTTACTTTTGTGCATCTACTTGTCTGGTTTCTTTAAGCTGAATCGACTTAAAAATTTTAGGAGCTCTCCCTCTGATTTCTGTCTCATTATAGCTGACAGAGAAACTGAGGAAATGCTTTGTAAATCATGCACCTTTCACAGAGCACTTGGCACATTTACAAAGGCTATGGCCATATCACAAGCCAGGTAGGATTTGATTAGCCATTTCACCACCCACTGTGACAGGCATATAAATAGCACACCGCTCTCCTACCTCTTATGCAAGCATTGAAGAGCTGTCAGGCATGCCTGGGTAGCAGAGAGGACAGGGGATGGTAGAAATAACTCTTCTGTGTGCTTCTGATGACCTGTGCAGCTTCCAAAAGCCAGAGCTCTGCTCATAGGCAGGGCTCACAAAAGAGGGAGGAACATGCCAAGACAGGAGAGCTGCAGCACCCTCCATGACATGTTTTTCTAAACTGGGAAACATTCCCAGTAGGAAATGCCTGCAGAGATTCATACAGAGGCATTAACCTTCCCCCTAGAGCCTGTTTGTGTACATGAGTGCATGTACATGCACATATTTCTTATCCTAAAAGGAGATTTTTGCTCCACAGTTGCACAGGGGGCTGGGGTGTTGCCAGAACAGCCCCCAGGCCCTGCAGCTTTGCTCTGTGTCCCTCATGACAGCCAGACTGCTTGTCCCAGTCCCTTAAAATCTGCCAGAGCTGTTCTACTCAGGTTTGTCATTCTATTTATCATCTTCCTGTGACTGGCTTTAACATCTGTGAAAACAAAAGTCTCAGAGGCAGTGCAACACAGTCAGACCCCACACAAACCACAGTGCACCAGAGATCTGCTCCCACACCTGCATCCTGGCCCCCATCTCCTCTCATGCTTCCCTTCCAGGGACGAGTCCTCAGGTGCCTGCACCCTGCCTGCCCTTGAGACAAACAGTGCTGCCTGAGATGGATGCATCATTTCAACAGGTACAAATACTGCCCTGCCAGCCAGCTCAAGTAAACAGAAAGTGATGCAAAGCAGCACCAGTACAATTTCTCTCACATGCTTCACAAACGGCTTCACTTTGCAGTCAGAAGTTAGAAAACAGGAAGGTTTCAAATGAGTTACTAAGGCAGGAAGTGAGTCAGCCCTGAGCAAGAGGGGCAGCAAACAGCAGCCCCTTCCACCACAGACAGAGCTGGGCACAGCCAGAGCCAGGCACAGACAGAGCCAAGCACAGCCAGAGCCAGGCACAGGCAGAGGCGGGCACAGACAGAGCCAGGCACAGGCAGAGCCGGGCACAGACAGAGCCGGGCACAGACAGAGCCGGGCACAGCCAGAGCCAGGCACAGGCAGAGCCGGGCACAGCCAGAGCCAGGCACAGCCAGAGCCGGGCACAGCCAGAGCCGGGCACAGACAGAGCCAGGCACAGACAGAGCCGGGCACAGACAGCCAGGCACAGGCAGAGCCAGGCACAGGCAGAGGCGGGCACAGACAGAGCCGGGCACAGACAGAGCCGGGCACAGCCAGAGCCGGGCACAGCCAGAGCCGGGCACAGGCAGAGCCAGGCACAGACAGAGCCAAGCACAGCCAGAGCCGGGCACAGCCAGAGCCAGGCACAGACAGAGCCAAGCACAGCCAGAGCCAGGCACAGGCAGAGGCGGGCACAGACAGAGCCGGGCACAGACAGAGCCGGGCACAGACAGAGCCGGGCACCCAGAGCCAGAGCGAGCTGGGAGCAGAACGCACCAGCAGGGCAGGGACAGCGAGGAAGAGACCCCTCTTCTCCAACCACAGCCCAATGCCAGGAAGATTATACCCATCCAGAGGAGTGTCTGCTAACCAGTCTTCCTTCTCCTTGCAGCCCTAAGCACCAGCCCATCCCCTCCCAGCCCTGCCCAGGCACACCAAGGCCTCCTGTGCAGCTCTGCAGCTGAAAGGAGTCCTCCAGAACAGCTCAGCTGAGAGTGGGACTGCAAGTCCCCTCGAGCATCAGAAATCTGAATCCTGGCCTCTCACACACTCATTTAGGTACTTTCTGTTGGAAATAGAAACGCCAACACTTCCTCCTCAGCTGCCACCCCACTCTGCCCACGTTTCACATGAGACAGAATTGCTCTGGAAAGGGTCCCATCAGCCTCCACAGGATAAGGAGGCCAGGGAGCATCTTAGCTTAGGTGTAGAGAGGACTCTACCTACTTGCCTAGGATCAGATGTTCATCAGAGAATTCGTCTGCAGCAAACAGAAGAGCCATAAACCACCAGTGCCACCCCAGCTCAGCAGCACATTATGGCAGGAGTTCTGAGGATCTGCATTTTGGGGATAGCTACAAAAGAGGCCCCAGTCCTTTTTTAGGTGTACCTCCAGGCACAAAAATTACATCTAAAAATAGACCCTAGGTAGAGAAGTCACACAGGCAGAGTTAAAAATGAAATTCTGTATACTGGACAGCATTCCCCATCACATAAAAATGCTGCACTCCTGCATGCAATGCCAAGAATAACATTTGGGCTTTAAGCCTGGACAGTCACACAAGCACTGAAGCCCTACATGGATAACAAATCCCCACCAACTTTTGCAGATGCCTAAACTGGGTAGAATTAAAGAATTAGCTGTTCCACAGGTGATGCATCTGGTTCCTATGTGTTGTCCTCTGTTTCAAACTTGTTGTTGAAGATATAAGGAGGATAAATGATGTTTTGCTCTCTGTATTAATCAGAAAACTAGGATGTTAATTCCAACTGAAAAAAAAAAAAATCTTGAGAAGGACAGACAGAATTGGCTGGGTTCCAGCACTAGAGAAGGCCCTTGCCTACCGAAGATAATAATCTTCTGTAAAGCATCAAATCACTGTAGCAAAAGACTTAAGAATCACAGCATGGTCACACACATCATGTGGGGAAACCAAGACACAACTGAAGAATACTATGATCCTCAAAGCAACTAGATCTAAATGCAAAGCATTTCCAGATCCTTCCTGGTTTCAGAAGAATCTGAGAGTAAGGCAAGGGAAGCTCTGCACAGAAGAAAACACCTCAGGAGAAAGTTTTTAATGCTTGAAAGAAGCTGTTGAGAACTTGTTATTTGAACAAAAAAAAAAAAAAAAAAAAAAAAAAAAAAAGGTGGAGCAAGACTGGGTAGAAGGTAAAAATCAAAATCCAGAACCTAGTTGCAACTTGCAAGTTTTGAATATCTTCCAGTGCGATAAACATTCTTAGAAAAGTGCTGTGCTGTTGGAATAAATTTTTCCACAGGAATGTACCCATTCTCATTTTCATTTTGGCTTTTTTCTCTCACACATGCTTTGAGAGGCCAGCATGCTCCTGGAACCAGGAAGCATTGTATTTACAAAATGAAGTTTTGTAAACTACTTTACATAGCAAGGGTTTTTTAAGTCAGCTTTGGAATTAGAAGTCTTGGTTTCATAATAAGGGGAGCCTTTAACTGACAATTTTAAACACCTTAAAAGAACGTATAAGCTCCTTCACAAAATCCAGGAGAAGAAACACAATAGGCTATACTCCCAGCAAAGGAGCACACAGCTGCTAAAAACAGCTCTCAAAGGTTGTGCATTATTTAAGAAGGAATATGATGGACAAGGACAATACAATGCCTAAGCAGCCTCAGGGAGAAAACAGTACAGACAAAACTTTCAAGCTGAGAAGTTCAGAGAAAAGAGCTGTTTGCTACTGGTGTGTTTAGGTGAACAGAACTTGATACATTCCCTGAAAATAAGCAGAATCCATCAGAGAGAATCAAAACTTATTTCTGCTGCCTGGACTTTTCATAAGGTACAGAAACCAAATTGTGGTTAATTGTATTTATAAAAGGAGGTTGTTATCATGCTGAACGAAGTGCAAAATCCTCTGAACTAATAAATCCAGCAGCACCTTATATTTGATTAGGAACAAGATGATAGGTTAGTTAAACGGCCCTGTGGGAAGGGGGACAGGCCACGGCACCCACTCAGGCGCGGAGAGCTGCGCTTTGCCCTGCCGAGCTGAGGGTTCCCAGGGCCCTGCAGCCGGGATTTCCCTGGGACAGTCCCGGGAACATCCCTCGCTGCAGGGCCAGGCACGCAGCCGGGCCCTGTCTCTGCGGACAGCCCAGAGTGTACCGGAGAGGAAAGAAGGGGAAGATTTGCACTGCACACCGCCAGCTGCACTGATGGACAGCTCATCTCCACCTTCCAAGCGCGCATCTACACCGCGGCTGGGGAAAACACTCCGGGCAAAGTGAGTATTTCCAGGGATTTTTCCTAAAACCCACTCACATCCAGCAGATGGCTATTTACAGAAGACTAATACAGCATCTCGCTTAGACGTCGGAAGAAATCTGAGCAGCAGTGAAAAGTAACAAACGCGGAAAGACCCCCTCTGTGGCTGGCAGCCATCGCCCTGGCCCCGCTCACAGGGAAAGGCTCAGGCTTTGCCTTCCGGGAAGACAAGGCTGTGTATCAAGGAGGGCTCTGCGTCTCGCTGGGATCCGTGTTACACCCGGATTGCTGCGGCCCGGAAAGGGGGACCTGATGCTGCAGCGCCCGCGGCTGCCAACCCCGCGGCGCTCCGGGGTCCCGGAGGGCACTGGGGGGCTCCCCCATGTCTCAGGCGGGCACTATGGGGCTCTCCCGTGTCCCGGCGGGCACTATGGGGCTCCCCCGTGTCCCAGGCGGGCACTATGGGGCTCCCCCGTGTCCCAGGCGGGCACTATGGGGCTCCCGTTGTCCCCCTTGGCCCCGGCGGGCACTATGGGGCTCCCCCGTGTCCCAGGCGGGCACTATGTGCCTCCCGTTGTCCCCCGTGTCCCCAGCCCCCGCAGCCGGGGCTCCCTCTCGCGGCCCCGCTCGCAGTCCCGCCTACCAGGACCTCGCCATCCCCCGCATCGCTCCCGCCACCTGCGGGTCCCAGGGCTCGGTACAAGCCGCTCCTCCTAACAAGAGGGGGAAAGGCTCCAGGAAAGCGGCAGCAATAGTGCTTAGCTACACTCACCCTGCAGAGACCTTGTGCATCAATAAACCAGAAATAGTGTGTTCTGGGGCGCATTATCCGTTTTAAGAGCTGTGAAGTTTTGTGTGGATGAAGCCATGGGTTTTGTGTGGAAATTAGGAGATTCATGGCTTTGCTAACCCTAGAGAGACCAATTGCCTCCTGGCTTCTCATTTCTGTTCTTTTTAAATAACGGAAGATAGAAAGTGCTTGGCTGACAGACTGCTCCCTGTAGCCGTGGGGTAAAGGCACTCTGAATTCCTTAGTGCCCACTCGTGTCCTCTATTTCCCATTAATGAGGCGATG